GGCCTCTTCCGCGCGGTCACGGAGCAGCTGGACAACATCACCCGCGCCGTGGGGGTGCGTGCAGGGCGAGGGGCAGCGGGGAGGGCCTCCTGGTCCTGCCCGGGGTGTGGGGCTGGCTGAACGGGCCCCCGGGGTGCCACTCCCTGCCAGGCGCCCTGTGCGTGTTTCCTCTGATCTCAGGGAGCCTCCCTGTTCCTGGCAGGCCTCTGCCTGGCTTTGTGGGCAGCTGGGGAGGGGATGTATGGGTGTCAAATAGAGCAGGCACCAGGTGAGTGCCCTGCCCAGAGAGCCAGCACTGCCTGGGTGCCCCTTACTGGGAATGCCCTGCTCCACGGTGCAAGAGGGTGAGGGCTTTGTGAGTACTTGGCGCAGTGGCTGAGGGATAGCTGGACTTTGCTGCTGTGTCCATGCCACTTGCCTGCTGTGCTGTGCAAAGGTGAACTGGTTCCTCTGAGAGGCAGTCACTTGCGTGTTGATAGCACTGCATCAATGGCGCTCTTCTGCCTTGGGGCCAGGAGGCGAGGGTGCAGAGCACGCTGCTTCTTGGCATTGTGCTACCTGGCTTTGTATGGGAGCAGTAGGGGTGTGCTCTGTGTGGGTGGTGCCTCTGTAACCTAGTTCTCTTCCAGCTCTTCTCTTTGTAACCTATCAAGTATTAGGGTACTCTAGAGCTCAGAGACTCATAACTGGCAAGGGACTAGGACCCCATTAATTTCTTAAAAGGTTGTTTTTGCTTGGTGCTTTGTTCCCCTAAGCCCATAAGCCCATGATTCTCTCAGTTCTTGCATCTGGAAGGAGGAGCTTTTCTCTTTTCAGTGCATCATATTGTGCTGTGTTTGGTCCTAAAATGACTTTGGAGTGAGATTTTTTTTCTTCTCATTATTGAACTCTCATTATATCTACTTACTTAGATGTTTATACAAGCGAGTAGAAGGACCTGTCTCAAAAGTGTGTGTTCTCCTTATGTTTCAGATTTATGATCAGATCCAGCCCCTGAACTTAACTCCCTGGCAGTAAATCATTTCATTGAATGCTTTTCCTATCCCTTCTTGGAGGAAAAAAAAAAAGCAAGGAGAAAGATGAGTGGCATTAATCTTCCAGACATCATGCAGAGCTGGCCTTAGTAGATGATGCTCATGTCCACCTGGCACAGTTGGCAATGCCATGGTGTCTCAGGTCACCTAGACTTGAGCTATTTTAGTTCTGAAGATGCCAAAAGTTTTGATTCTACCTGAAAACGTGTATGCAGTAGCACAGCTGGTGGAACACTGCAACATTTCCCCTAGCAAGCAGGTTGCCACAGGGTGGTAGACAAGCTTCAGCTTCTAAGTCTTGTGGTGTAACTCAGGTAAATGCTAATAATCTGATTCAAGGCGATTAAGGTATGCTTAAGCACAGTATGGTTTGCATCTGAAACGAAAGGTCTCACCAACTTCAGTGGAAAAATATCCAGCAGTACCTTTGAGGCCAGCAAGGCTCCATATCTGCAAATTAGACTTGTATATACTGCCTGCAGCCTACTGATTACTGTTGCTGCTGTAATTTATATCATTTCTTCCATTTGCTTCCCCCAGTCAACTAAGATTCCCAGGTATTTGCAACCAAAGGATGTTGGTAACACCTGCATCCTGCAGAGATTTTTTTGGCTTATCCAGTACAGCTTACTTTTATAAGATGTTACTTGATGACAAAGCATAGTGTAGAAATGGGAAGCCCAGCAGATAATGCTGCCATTACATGGCACCTCTCATCTTGACAGGCTTTACCAGTAAAAGATTTACAGTTCCCCGACATGCAATTATTATGAGTAGGGAGCAGTCAATGAGTACATACTAATTTTGGTGAAAGGTGGAAGGTCAGGTTAAGGTCCAAATCTTTACCTGGCTGGAGAGGAATTAGAATCATGTTTTTTGGTAGATGCGTAACTATCTTGTCTGAAAGATCCACATGTAATGAATGTAGGGAACTTGGTGTATCTTTGGAAGAAGAGAAAAAAGGGAGTGAGGTGACCCTGCTGTGAGGTAAACCAAAATTGCAAGGCATCTGAATATTTTAAACTGGCTGACTAGACATTTAAGTCATCCCTCCAACAGTATACTGTAAGCAAGCTATGAGAAACTGGGGATAAAAGGCAGCCCGGTTTAATATTGTGACTCTTGGATAACTAATTTTTATTAGCCTGTATTATTTGAACATTTTCTGTCAGGCTTCAGAGGCTGGTGACAAAGTTTCAGGAAGCCAGCAGACCACTGCTGTGTGAACATCTTCTATATTTCCTGAGTCTGTCTTTCATCTGTGCATGCATGCATAAAACTTAAAGTGAAAGTGAATGTGTGTACTCTTTGAATGAAAGTTGCTGGAAGTGGCAATAATAGTAATTCTTGTAGTTAGGGGTATAACATGGAAATTCTCGAAGGCCTTAGGAAGTAAAATAAAACATGACAGAATCAAAATAGTTGCATTTTAACAAGAATTAAAATAGTTGCATTTCAACAAGAAAAAGTGGGAATTGGTTTCTTTTAGAGCAGACCCTTCTAGGGAGCACCTCTTTTAATGCAGTGTGACTTGACTGGACTTCCCATCTTGTTCACATATAAGAAGGCCCTAGGAACTATGAGAGTTTCAGTTGGTTTATCAGATGGAAACTAGGTATCAGAGCTATGTGTCCAGTGAGTTTATCCAAGATCACAATTTTGGAGCAAGTGGTTGAAGGAAAAGTTTTGAAAGAAAAACACTTGGGTCTGATTAGAGTCATGGAGACCCTATCTGTTTGGTTTATTGCTATGCTTCCTTTTTCACTTTTTTGGCTTGGACCTAATCTGCAAGTTCAGAGAAGCTTGACCACTGCCTCTTTCTGCTTAAACCACTGAATGCATTGGATGCTTAGCTTCCATTTGATGCCCTGGTAGAGAAATAACATAAATGTGCTATAAATGCAATTTAAAATATTTGTTTTTTATGGCCATAGAAATATCTCACCTTGATATAAGCCTTGGAGGTATCATCTATTATTAATAATGGAGGGTCCATTATTGCGTTAAATGTTTTGTTTGTACCTTTTCGGGGCCAACAATTCATATGTTAGAACTAAAAGGAAGGAAGCAAAAAGAGGAACTACATAGTGTGTAGTTTTCAGAAGAAAAATTCCCTCTGCCAAAGGGAAAAATCAGAATTACTCGTTAAACAAAATTGCTCATTAGTTCTTGGCTAAGCCCATGCTCATGAAATATTGCCCAATGACTGGTGGTATGTCCAGTCCCATGGGGATTATCCAATGGATACTTCCCCCTATACTGCTCTTTTCTTTTCCTTCTCTCCAGTAGTGCTCACAGGGCCATGTCTGTGTATTTTTTTTTTTGCCTGCGTAGCTACAGTGATCCCTGACTGACATAGTGATGCCAGAAGCAACCCCTAGTGTAGATGAAGATAGACCAGCAAAATAGTGCTTTGTTTTGCCGGGGACGAAGGGGATTGTTCCTACGCTAAGTGCTCTCCTGGCATAGCATACAGGCAAAGCACTTGTGAGACTCCCCTCTACATGTTACAGGTATTGTGCAATTAAGTGGTTAATTGTGCAGTTACCCTGAGACCAGCTACACATATAAAGTACTTGCCACACAACAAAGTACTTGCCTTCACAGTCAGGGTGGCTAGGATCTGGAACCAACTTCCAAGGGAAGTGGTGTTGGCTCCTACCCTGGGGGTCTTTAAGAAGAGGCTTGACGTTTACCTAGCTGGGGTCATTTGAGCCCAGTTTTCTCTCCTGCCCAGGGCAGGAGGTCGGACTAGAAGATCTACAAGGTCCCTTCTGACCCTACATCTGTGAATCTATGAAAAAAGCTCCAACCGGCTTTAAAGTTAGATGTAAAAATGTGTGCTAACTTTATAGCTGGTTTCTATTGAGCTTTCATTTGTAGGTGTAGCAGGATCTCCCCTGCAGCGGGAAACACTTCATCTGATTGGGCTGGCAGGGATGCACCCAGCCCGGTGTAAAACCTCTGGGCCCTAGGGACCACAACTGCTGCAATCCCTAGGGCTCAGGGGTGTATGAGACCCAGTGCTCTTTCCACCCAGTGAGAACACTGGGCATCTTTATGGTTCTGAAATGACTCCTAGTCCAGCTAATTAGAAAAAGATGTATATAAGCTCTTCAGTGGGCATGGTCTTTAGTCACGTCTTCCAAGAATCTATGAATCTGAACATATGATGGGTCTTAAATAATAGGGTTTGTATGCTTCAGAGATGATGAGGGATAGACCTCATCCTGTTACCTTTCTGCTTCACTTGCCTAATTCATGTGTGTTTGTGGGGAGTTGAGGGGACATTTGATGGGAGACGCTCTTGATTATGACTCCTATCCAGTTGGGATTTGCTGGATTTGAAAACAGTTGCCATCCAATGTCTCTCTGTCCCAAAAGCAGGTAGCTGGTGTGAGATGTTTCATGTCCCGTTAACCGCAAAGGAAGAAATTTCTCTGCCCAGCGGGTAGCTCATCCAGGTCAGGACTGAGATGCACAAGCTGTGACAGCCATGCAGCCTATGGTGCACCTTTTAGAGCTGAGATAAATAGTCGCATTGAACCTCAAGCCTCCCTAAATCATACTCTTGGTTTGATCTTTCAGAACTTTTGAGGCCAGACATTGATTGCAAAGCTACAGAAATTGCAGAGTTTCTCCTTAGGCATCTCTTGGTACGGGTGGGGAGTGTGAGTCCTCTGTTTTCTGAAAGGCTTTGTACCCCAAAACAGAGCAGCAGATGTGTTATCTGGGCTGCCTCTGCTTTCTAGCTGGATCAAACTAGGGTTGAAATAAGTCCTTTAAATCTTAATTGGAGATGGAAGGCAGCTCAGAATATTATCTCAGGTTGAGATGAGTAATTGGCCTTTTATAGATGGAGCATGTGCTGTGTTTGCTTTTCCCCGCGCTATCCTTGTTCTTGTGAGGAGCTCTGGATGAATGTCTGCAGAACCACTTCATTGCTGTCCTTCAAATCTTTTTATGTATTCCCTTTTATGGGATGCTTACATAAAACTCAGCAGTGGTTAGGCTGCTGCCAGTGCCAGTCATGCTTCCTGCTGTGGTCTCATTGTTCCTTTTCAACTTCCTACCTTATTTTTCTGTCTCCATCTGTTTTTCTTTTTTGTAAACTTCATGTAAGTTCCTTGGACAGGTTGATGGTAGTTTGCTGGGGACTGATCCATGAACGTATGATAATTCAGGGGATGATGATGATGGAGTGAAACTGTTGCCCAGAATGAAAGAGGGTGTTTCACTTGCAAAACATTGTCTGTTTTAATTGGCTTCTGTACTTAGCAAGCTGTTCTGTTAAGTGTGTGTGTACGTTAACATACATTTTTATTATTAACAATCTTCCCTTTCATCAGAATGATGTAGACTGTAGAGGTTTTTGCCTGAATTAGCATGGGGCATGGTGCTTTTTCTAAGACAGTAGTTCTCAACCTTTTTAAAGTTGAGGCACCCCTCATTAAACTCAAGGCATCCCTTGGAAGATGCCAGGTCTTAGCTTTTACTTATTTTTTGACTATGGAAAAATAATGGAATAATTCTTCTGTTGCAAAGAACTCGGGAAGACCACAACAAGTCAGAATATTTTTCTAATGGTATAGATTTCTATTTGAAACCTCAGGGTTTATCTTGCAAATCATGTTTGCACACTTAACAGTGCTAACATCATGTAGCACTCCATAGCACCCGGGAAAGAATCTCAGGTCTCTGTGGTTGAGAATTGCTGTCCTTGGATCTTTTGAGCATGTATTAACCAGCTACTTCCTTGTCACTGAAAACGGTGGGTGAAAATACTATTGGGGGGGCTGAGCCCTGCCTGACCCCTGCCCCTCGCCTCCATAGGGCCATTGCTAAGCCCCATTAACCCTGGCCTTCTGCCGCCTATGCTTGTCACTGCAGGACATAGGCAGTGCCCTTGCTTCCCCTGCATTTATCTGTGGTGTGTTAGAATGCTGCCAGTGTTTTGGGTATTGTGCCATTAGTTGCATTTTGAAGTAGTTTTTTGGGGTTCCATAAGTAAATGATGGCCTTAGAATGCAGGGGACTGAACCTGATGGCCAAACAAGGCCCTTCTAATCCTTATTTATGTACAGTCCATGGTGCTGGAAGAGTAAATAAATACAGGTTTCCCTTGCTTTATGCTGTACATGCGTTCCTGGAGAATGGCGCGTAACTCAAGCTCCCATAAAGGGAATCCACTTTACAATGTAACAAATAGGGCTGTGTTCCAAGATCTCAACTGTACTGATCCCCAGACCCATTTCTACCACTTTTACAAGCCAATTTTGGTACTCACCAACAGCAGACAGTACACACAAGCACAGGACACTATCATAATGGGGGTGGCAACTACAGAAACACATGTTGCAGACAACGACAGAGGAGCACAGATCCGCACAGGAGGCTATATTTTAATGCATGTCGCTCATGCAATGCACCACACAAAGCAGCTGACTGTGGGCTTCCACCACACTGATCGCATAAGAGTGAATTTACCTTGCATAAGATGAATTTTTGGTATAAAAAGGATCATCGCGTAAGAGCGAATTCGCACCTACAGAACATGCATAAAGTGAGGGAAATCTGTAATGGATCTCAACAACAGCAAACCTTCCTATATTGCATGAATTACAAATCTGTCTTGTATTGCTCTGTTCTTTTATGCAAAAATTATTGGTAGCCCTGTTAATCCTAACCAGTGCTTGTTCCAAAGAGGGCTGAATAGTTTTTGCGCTAAATATGGTTCTGGTCATGTGGAACTAAGGGCTAGATCTGTTGTTGCTGGAAAATCAGCATGGGCTTGCCTGGCTGATTCAGTCAATCTGTGGTTTGAGGAGGAAAGGCAAGAAATGCATGTTCCCAGTCACTGCTTTGAATCTCTTCTCAGACGGAATGGAAACGTGCACATACACCTCAAAATATTTTTTTAAGGCTTGATAATCCTCTGCTTTTCCAGTCTGCAGTCTGTGTGCCGGAAGGCTTAGCTGCATGCTAGGAGGGATTGACTTGAAGACTGGCTGATTTGTGGTGGCACATGGCTGAAGGAGAGCAGCTTTCAGTTGTGAGGTTCTGCTGGAGCGCTTTTTGCCAGTAAACTAAGGAGATGTCGGTGGCAACACGTAGTGGGTGCATGGGGGTGCATGTGCACCCCCTGATCAGTGGTGCTCGCTACTTGGGCAATAGGGGGGGGAGCAGGCAGGAGCGCCAGTGACCCCCCCTGCAAGTGCTAGCCAA